CAATAGCTGCAGATTATCCTCGAGCGAGCACACACCAGTGCCCCATGGCAAGAGTTTTTGCTATTGGGGCACTGCTCAGGGAAGGAGCTGTAGTACCAGTGGGGGACACAAGAACTATTGGGACTGCTCTGTGCAAAAACACTGCAGAGCACGACTATTGTCTCTTTAAAAAAAACAGAACTCCTGAACCTTTGAATACCACTTTAACTCCTCGAAAAGCATATTCCCAGGTTCTAAGTGTATTCCTCCCCCCCCCCCATGTACATGAGATGTTAGAATTGGGCTGGTTGTTGAAGTTAACATTCAATCGGATAATGTCTGAGGGAAGATTCTCACAAGGCAAGCAGAGCTACATGGAATATATTGATCAGTGGGAGGATATTGGCATACAGTCAAACATAAGGGCTTGTTAATGCAGAGATTGCTGAAAATGATTTCTGCCACATTCCATTCTTGTGCTACAGCAGTGGACTTTGGGGATCATTCTTCATGAGGTGAATTTGATTGCCGCTTTAAATGTTACTGAACCCACAACAGTAAAATCAGTCTGTATAGGCAGTAACACATGCTTGTTATACTCATTGTAGTACCTAAGGGGTTAATCCTCCGCTTGAAAAAGGGAACAAAGGCTCAAATGGCCTTAACACTACCACCTCTCCTGATAAGACAGACTGAACCTTAGGCAATTACGCATGGCTCGTTTTGGTGTGTATTGCTAGGTTTTTTTGTTTTTTTTGTTTAACTAGTGCTAATCACATGAACTCTAAAAGAAAAAAACAGGTTTTACATCCTAGAGCAGAAAGAGAACCCCCTACAAGCTTTAACCAGTGCTCTGCTGAACACTGATAAAGCAGACTTGTGGCTTTTAACTGCTGAGAGAAGGTATTTGACAGTTTATTTACTAAAACATTGTACTTCCATGTTCTGTGTACTGAGGGAGACCAGATATAGTGGATGCAGGGTCCTGGGTTTATAACACGAAGCTTTCTTTTGAGTGTCATAAATATACATTGTTGGTGAAATGATTTAACAATGACAGTATTCAATAGATAATATTGATTGTCTTGGGATTCACTTTTTTTTTTTTTTTGTTACACTTTAGTGGCATTTATAGACACTAACCAAAGTTCTCGTATAGAAGTAATGGGGAAAAGAGTGGTTGTTACACACAAGTCTCAGTCCTGTGATAAGTGAGGTATGTTGGATTTTGGTGTGGGATGGGTCAAGGGGGAGAGGTGGTAGCTGATAGAACTACAGGGGTCTAGGAGCACATACCTGGTGACTTGTCCTGTATGTTGCATCTGTTTTGTATTGTAGCATTCTTTTATCTCTAACATCTGTTTTTGTAGTCTGCATAGTGTTATCATAGAATTGTCAATACTTTGCACAAGAGACTTTTTGGTGTTCTTGGTTATTTTACAGATTTGAGTGGGAGATCAAAAAACTCACAATAGGTACATGCGTGATTTACAGTTTCGAGTCAGTTGCTATTCAGAAGTGACCAGTTGTTCATATGGGACAATGGGGAATCAAACTTGCTAGACAGAGTACAAAGAATGTATTTACAAACACAAATCCTCTCCTGAAATAGGTTCACACTATTGTGGGTGGTTGCAGGTGTGGGAATTACAGCTGTACCAGCATGCAGGGCTGCCATTCATAATGGCACCCCCACGCATCTAAAAATGCAGTGTATTTGCAGGTACAGGGAAACTGCATGGTGCTCTTACACCATGCAATTTCCTGGTCGCTGCATTTTCAGAATGTTGCAGGAACCTTCTTACTCCATGAAACATAGGCACAGCAGCCTGTCCAAATGCAGCTAGAAGAGCCCTGTCAAGTACATGGTATGGGTTACAGGAGCCTGGGTAAGGGCACAAAGTTAGAGAAGGGGCAGTGAGAACCAGGAATGCAGGTTGCCGGGTGTAAAGTGGGGGGATTCAGAAGGGAGGATGGTGTGCAAGGAAAGTTGGCTATAGCAGATTAAAATAGGAATGTGTACTAGTGACTGAAAATGCTTGCTGTTTTGTGTGGGTTTTTTTTTTCTCCCCCTCTTGAGCTCAATGTATACAAGCCTACTCTGACCACCAGCTGCGGGAAAACTCCAAATGTGGTAACCACAGTACTGCGATTTTGCCGCGGTTTCCTGTGGCCGGCGGTCAAAACATTCCTATCCTGAACGCCATTCTTCTGCATTCGCGGAGGGATGCTTAGCCTCACCTAAATGCAGAAGCTCCTAAACTGCTAAAAGCCCATTTACTATAAACATATAGGGTCTTATGGAGTTGTTGTTAGGAGCTTTGGTAAAAGCTCCTAAAACTTGAGTTTAGGAGCAGCAGTGTACATGGAGCCTTAGAAACAGGTTTATACTTGCTCTGCCATGGAATTGCACAAAGTGGCCCCGATCCTCCTGTTCTTGGGTCCCTGCTAGCACTCCTGGCTGCTTTCTATGGTGGCACTCGTGTTGGCTTGCTCTCTGCATCTGACAGCAGGAATTGGCCCTGTTCCCCGCTTCTTGTCACGATCTGTGATTGACAGCAGCATTGCTCCCACTACCTCAGCAAAGCCAGTGTGACGCAAATGTGAGAGGAGGGAAGTGCTGCAGAGGGCACAGCTCCTAGATCAAAACCTTGTTACCTTGAAGCAGGGAATACAATAAAGTGGTAATGAAGTGCAGAATATTAGTATGTGCAAGTATGCACCATATACTAGCACATGACCCTTTCCTTTAAAATGAAGCCCTCCAGCAGTGTGCTGTCAGTGCTTCCATCTTCACGTGATCAAGTTTGCAGGCTCCGGCTGGGCAGTGATCATGTGCCATCCATTCAGAGTGCAGTGCACATGTACCTGTGATGTCTCTGGCCTCTACAGATCACTATCTCCTAAATGGTACCTGTTTGTAGGACATATTCACTACCTACAGGTAAGCCTTATTATAGGCTTGCCTGTTGGGTACAAGTCAAAGTGGACTTTATTACTTTTTTTTTTTTTGTAAGTGTGTTTAGGCTTTTTATAGCCATTAAGTGAGGACTTGAATTTTTTTTTTATTTGAGGCTTTTGGCTTGGTGGAATGACTGCACTGAGACAATGAGTGGAACAATGGTGTTCTACAGAAATGTAGGATCTTATTGATGTGTTTAATGTGGTTGTACGCCAACGTTAAACCACACTTCACCTGTTTCTAGTGATGACTGTTGGGTTTAATGTAGTCTTGTCTCAGGTGCTAAGATGTTTGTTTCAATCCTCAAAAAAGCAACTGGTTAAAGGATATGGTGTCTACAGTACCCTGTTGTGTTCATTCTACCAGATCAGTGGGGATTTTGTTAAAGCGTCTATTGCTTGGCTTTGAGGCCACAACCTAGTCTTTTGTTCATTCTCAGTTCTACCAGGTGGATGTCCCAGGTCTCTGTGGATTAAACTTAATGTTTAGCAGCACTCTGAGTTCAGTATTTCTCACTTTCCTGAGAGATATATATATATATATATATATATATATATATATATATATATATATATATATATATATATATATATATATATATATATATATATATATATATATATATTTTTTTTTTTTTTATTTTTTTTGTTTAGCTTGTGTGCATGGTTCTGTTTTGACTTGTTGCCCACCTTTCTGATTTCATTGCTTAAGCCCAGTACATGGGCCGAATGTCAGGTGGCATCAGCCAGTTCAATCAAAACCAGCCGACTTTTTCTTTGTGTATGGCATCCAGTCCAACATAAGGCGGCCGGCTTCTGTCAAAAGGGCATGACCGCAAAATGTCTGCCAGTTGGAACACACAATGGCACAGTAGGGGGTAACAGTCAGTACAGCACCTGCTGGGTTGAACAAAAAACTAGTAGTGTACCATGCTTTAGACATTTCCCAGCCTGTGTACTGTATGAGTAAGATGAAAGCAGGTGGGTGGGGTTTTTTTTTTTTTTTGTGGACCACCCTGTAAAAGTGGTCTGATGGCTGTACTGGCTTGAATCACTTTTTACAGCTGGCGATGGGCCTTCATGTAAAACTGATACCAAGTATAACCAATTCCACCCAGGGTTGTATGTATATGGCCTAACAGCTGGAAGTGTGGCTAACATGCGAAATTCATAGACTTGTGTCCTATGGAGTGCTGATTGTCAATCTCCTGTCGGAATGCTATCACTATACCTGTAGACCCACGTTCTGCTTGCCGATCACAGAAAACAGATACACAGAATTGTGTGGTATTTGTGTAAAGTCCTCTGGCTGTTTGTATCAAGTCTCCCCACAATCTTTTTTTGTTAATGTTCTATTGATAGAGGTGCTAAGGGATTTAATTCTGGAGTCCTTTGCCTGTAATCAGTAAACAGAAGCCTGTGCTGAATGCATCCTATGTAGGTAAACCAGATTGAATTGCTAGAACAGTGCTGTCTTAAACACTTTCTGTCCCGTTGTCTTGACATAAACTCAAACCCTCCACAGATGCATGATTATGAGCAAACAGCCACGGCCTCCATGGTTGCAGAGCATCCAGTGCTGCAAGACTTTTGGCTGTGCCTGCATAGTCCCTATAGACTTCCATGTCTCCAGCCTTGGGACACAGGTCCATAGACTATACCATGCAAGTCTATAGGGCTGTAATATGCAGTTTGGTCCCCAGCTCCCTGTGAAGAATTGACACCTTTTGGGGAGCGGGTTCCAGATTGACGGGTACCCACTTCTGCTCTGACTACGTAGGAGATTGGAAGTGGAAGCTTCATTATTCCAGCAGGAGATGCCATGGGGAAATATGTACTGGAGAGCTGTGCAAAATTTAATATTTGTACCTTTGCAAATGAGCAACTGTAAGTCAACCTTTTTTTTTTATGGTCGTGCAACTCTGCCAATTTCAGAAATGACACTTTGTAACTTCTATCTAAATGGGGACAGCACTGTGCAAAGGGGTATCTAGAAGTACAACTGTTTCCTAATGTCTTCTACTTTTCCATATAAATTTTCCCTCATTTTTGTGTTTCAGGTTGGAGATAAAGTTATGGTCCTCAACAGATTTGGATTATGGCAAGAACTGGTTACTGTTCAGACTAGCCACACATTTCTTATGCCAGAAGGAATGAGCTTTGAGGAGGGTGCAGCCTTGCTGGTAAACTATATAACTGCCTACATGATTCTCTTTGACTTTGGCAATCTGAGGCCAAAACAAAGCGTCCTCATCCACATGGCAGCAGGTAAGAATTTTCAGCATTAAAATATTTTTAGAAATTATCTATTGCATACTTGCATTGGTCCAGCATGGCATATATACTTAGACATACTGTCTTTTCTACATGAGCTATTTGGGTGGCTGAAAATGGCTGCATTTTGGAGCTACTACAGTGGTGGCCACAATCATCTGTCATGTTGGGTTCTGTGCCAGCTGCCTCCCCTACAGTCACTTGCTTAGCACCGCCACTATTCATAGTGTTTTTGTGTGTGTTTTTTTTTTTTTTTTGTTTGGTTTGGTTTTTTTTATGCAAGGTGTTCAGCTTGACAGGATGGGGAGGAAGGGGATGTCCCTGCATCTCTTTAGTGTGCACCTTTGTATATGTTGAAAAGGCCAGGTTCATAGACCAGGCCACTCTCAGAACCCCACCAGGACACCGCTGATCTGATGGCAGCTATTCCCATAGTTGTACCAACTAAGTTATTTTCAGCTTACCCAGCAGCCATTCAGGTGTGCGTGGTGCCAAGCTGAGCCAATGCAAGTATGCAGTACAAATCATTCCTGGAGATCGGCTTTAATTTAGGCTGGTGTTGCAAAGGTCAGGCATGGCTGTTTAAGGCTTGTCATCAAGAACCTAACACGAACTCCAGGACAAGAATGGCAAGCAAGACATATTAATTTTTTTTTTTTAGTTGTGTATTTCTTCAAGTCTGTGCAATAATGCAGTGTGAAAAATTGCTTTTGTGCCAATTTCCTGTCAAAGACCAATCACTGAGTGACTGGTCTTGTATCTGCCCTTCCTAGCTTTCTGTACACCACATACACATAAAGCAAATGCTATATGAACCTACCTTGAAGCAGTCACCATCCACCTCCATAGCTTGGTACACTGCACTAACCTGAGCAATCCTCCCCTCCCAAGGGAACAGTGACCGTCTCTAAGCTTGCATCCTGACTGGTAAAACCTAATGCTAGGCTGCTTGTGCCTGTGGGAGCACATTTCATATATTAGGACATTGTTTCCAAGCACCAGTCCATCCCATTCATGCCAATGGTATTACAGCGTTGGCAGTGCAGCACTAGATGTTTGCTGAAAGACTGCTGTCTGACGTAAGAAGCACCAGGGATGGATTCAGCTTTGCAAGAGCCATTGTATAAAAGCTACCTCATGTGTCACAATTTCTTTTTAGGCTAGGTTCACCTACATGGGTGGGGTGCTGTTCTCTCACCTGCAACCAACCATTCACTCTCAATGGCACCCCAATGCATTGACAATGCAGTGTTTGCAGGTGCCGGAATGTGAATTACCTTCCTTGTCACTGCAATTTAAGAGGTGCAGGAACCTTTTTTAAAAAGCAGGCACAGCAACCCATTCAAGCGAATGGGCTGCCACACCTGCACAAATGCAGCTCGCAGAGCCACAAAAGTGGGGAATAGTTTTGCAGCCCATCATGTTACAAAACACAGCAACATGAAGAGGCCAGTTCACAATCAGGAGTGACTGAAAGTGAGCAAATGACACTAATGCGGTGTGAAACGCTGCGATCCATGCAGGTTTCCCATACCACATTCCAATCGCACTTTGTTTTTGGGATCTGCTGCGAGTGTTGGTGTAATCTTAATGACACCCCCCAGCACAGGTCACAAATGCAGTGCATTTTCCTGCATTGGATAGTTTGGTACAAAAAACAACGTTATCCAGTTGTGGTGCAGTTCCAAAATTGGTGCCTTTGGTGCAATTTGAGCCCATTCAAAATGAAAGGGCTCAAACTGCATCACACTGAATTGTGCAGGAATGCAGTACAGGTCATATTGGGGACCAAGGCTGAGTACTGATCAGACCTACCTGTCAACTGCTAGACATGCTAAGGCTGACCATATGCTAAGTCTTTAGTTCAACTCACTGGTTGAACCAAAAAATTGATTCCCCCATCCATCCACACACAACCTTTTCCATCGAGCTTTGTTCTGACGGCAGGGAGACTTCCCTCTGTCAGAATTACTGATTAGTACTGCCAGCAGCACTAATTGATCAGGAAGAAAACTGACAGGTTGGTTGTACAAAAGTCTATCTGCCACTCAACTTCTGTACAACCAGCCTGCCATATGGATCAAAGATCAGTCCTTGAGTCTGATTAGTGTATTGCTGGCTTGGGAAAATGGTCTTGTGCTGTAGCAAATATGCACTTCTGTCATTGAGGTCTACTGCTCTCCTGTGTCTCAGCATAATGTTCCTTGCTCCTCCCATAGATATGCATGTGAGTACTGCAGACATGGGGGGTTCTAGATGAACACATACCCTGCATCTGATGGTGTTGTCTTGAAGCACTCATTGACCACAATGAGCTGTTGGCGTTGTCACTAGATGCTATATGGTGAAAGTTCATCTACACTGAGGCTTTAATGCCTGGTCTGACTTGGTGTAATTCCCAGGGGTTTGACACCGTTTAACTGTTGGGCTCACATGTCTTAATCCAGTACATTCCTATACTATCACTGTAGTTATCAGACTACACCATAAAGTGAAGAGCTGAGATATTTGGCTCCTACCTTGGTTAACCGTTTAATAAACACCTGTCTAGGGAATTGCCACCCTGATTTGCTGTGATGAGGCTTAACACAACTTATCACTTAACAGTTTATTAAACATGCACCAAAATCACATTTTGCACACTAACTCAGGCCTGCACTAAAATCAGCTCTGCTTGACAGCAGCTCGTCTGTTGCGTGGACATCTTATTCACTTGTAAAACACAAAATAGTTTGCAGTGAACACTGGCAATTGACAAGTGCAGTCTGTAACGGAATTGATTACGGGGCAGTAAGTGCGAAGGCACTGATGAATAGAAAGCACTAAACCGTAATGGCTAAAATTAGTGTGGTGTGTGGAGTTTTTTTTTACAATTAACTCCATCTGAGTTAAATGCTGCATGGGAAAAGCCTACTATCCTGATCACTGGGACTGAACGTGAGCAAAAATAAAGTAGTTGCTGGAATAGTGAGAGGTGGTCTTCCAGTAGGAGAACCTGTTTTGGGTGACTGAAAATTCTTGCTTTGTAGAGATTTCTCATTGCATCTTTAGGGCTGTAGACACTTTAATCCTTTTACTGGCAGCCCCTACGCTCCTACTTTTAACTTCAGTGGCCAGACCATTTTTAATCTTTTACAGCTTTCAGAGTTTCTGAAAATGTATGGTTTGAGGGGTCTTTCACAAAGTATAGGTGCTCCTGACTAACCCCCCCCCCCCCCCATTTAGATGCTGCCAGAGGAGAGAAGCCAGGAGCTGCAGGGAGACTAGTGGATCAGTGTCAGGAGGGAGGTGTAGAGAAAATCTGGATATTAGTGTGATGGGGGAAATAAGAGTGACAGGGGGTGCTTCTAGTTGAGTGGGGGGGGGGGGGGGGATTTACTGAATAGCTGATCAGTGAGTGGGTCTGCTGAGCATTTCTGCTGTAAGTTCATGATCAGTGAATTAACCATGAGCTTATAGCAGAGGGCATGTCTGGTCCACATAGCGTACAGACCTGGGCAGCTAGATAGTGCTGTAGTGCCATGAAGTATGTAAATCCCTTATATTTCCATGGTGGTTTTCCCCAGCCAACTTGCCAAAGTTCTCCCAAAAGGTAAAAATAGCAGAGCTATTTAAAAGTTCATAGATAAACACCTCAGATGGTGTCAGAATCTAGAGACTATTTTGGTATTGTGCAATTCAGCATTTTAGCACTTACATTTCCTAGGGGTTACACAGTATTACAAATGTAATTATGAAATTTTAAACGTGGTTTACCAATTCCTCCCAAGATCAAACTAATATGTAATTTCAATTGGCTTCTTTCTCCTTTTGCCTTGATATGGTGAGATGATCCTTGAGTAGTAAGAAGTTCATAAGTTATTCCAGAGATGACCTCACATCCTGTTTAAAGACAGTTGACATGTTTCCGCACATTTTTCCTGTATGTAATGTCGATCTTCCTGTCCAGCTGTGGCTTTTCCTGTTTTAGTTCAAGCATTGAACAGGAAAACAAAAAATTCTGACTACAAAAGCATTCAAAGGATGGATTTACTTTGGTACTTTTGCTACCTCGTTATCAAAAGAGCGCTTGTTAAAGGGTGCCCCCCTTTAAATTTGCCTCCCAGAACTAGCAATTTAAAACAAACTAACTATAAAAATATGTAACCAACTCCAAAAGGTTCAGAAGTGGTCTTTGAGCCAGTCATTGTGATACAGGGGTTGTAGAGGCCATTTTGCACTGACCTCATACACCTCTATGGTCAGAGTATTATGGCTGAAGCTTTAACAGCTTCCTGGTGGCCATCCACAAGTATTGGGACACCCCTCCAGATCATTGGATTCAGGTGTTCCAATCCCCTCCATGGGCACAGGTGTATAAAATCAAACACCTAAGCATGCAGACTGCTTCTACAAACATTTGTGAAAGAATGGGTTGCTCTCAGCTCAGTGACTTCAAGCGTGGTACCGTGATAGGTTGTCACCTGTGCAAGAAGTGTGAAATGAAAATCTATGAAATTTTCCTTGCTGCTTAATATTCCACAGCAAAGCTGTGGTAATAAAGCAAATTGGAAGCAATTTAAAACCGCAACGCAGCCATAAATTGGTAGGCCACGTAAAATGACAGCAGGGTCAGCGCATGCTGAAGTGCACAGAAGTCAAACTGTCATCAATGGCTAAATACCTCAGCTTCATTTGGCCTTCAGATTAGCACAACAGTGCACAGAGCTTCATGGAATGGGTTTCCATGGCCGAGCAGCTGGATCCAAGCCTTGCATCATGAAGTGCAATGCAAGGTGTCAAAAGCAGTGATGTAAAGCATGCTGCCACTGGACTCTAGAGCAGTGGATTCTTTGTTCTCTGGAGTGAAAATCACTCTTCTGTCTGGCAATCTGATGAACGTGTCTGGGTTTGGCAGTTGCCAGGAGAATGGTACTTGCCTGACTGCATTATGCAAAGGGTAAAGTTTTTGGGGGGGGGGGGGGTTATGGTGTGAAGTTTTTCAGGGGTTGGGC